CTTTGAATTTCTAGAAAAACTATGATTGACACTTCTTTGATGAAATCTACCCAAATTGAGAAAACTGGATCAATAGGTAAAATTTATAATTTGCTGGAAAATCTGATAATCAAACTCCATTTTCAAAATTAGAAGCTGATCACGTTTTTTGTGACCTTTACATTTCATTTTCTCTAATCGATGTTGGAGTTTGCCTTCCTTTTAATAGAAAAATGAACTGAACTTAGAAAACATCAAAATTCAAAACGCGAAAAATTAAAATTGAGCCTGAGCAAATTTCAAGACTTTTCCTTAAAAAAGCCAAAAAAAAATCAACGCGATCTTTATAAGTGTCTGAACTACTTTCATTGACTCTTTGTAAGATCATTTTTCTGGAGAACACGTTTGTTTTTTTATTTTAAATCAATTTTTAGATAGTTTATGACCTTTTAGGGCAGACGTTTGGTGGATCCGAGGATCCGTTGTCTGTCCTCTCCAAAAGACATTATCTTATAACTTTGCTGAACAATCATTTGGAGAAAAAATCTTTGGAACCTAAAAGCCACATCTCGAACAAACAAAAATGCATGGACTTACTGGTCAAAACGCCATAGACTGTTCTTAGCATTTGTACATGAAGTTCGTCTGAAGGATGGAAAGCTAGTTTCGCAAGAGCAAAAATCGAATCCCGATCGCGCACTAAATTTTTGTTCAATTTTGGAGGACCACTGAAAATTTTTTGAATGGACTTCCAGCCACTTACAGGCATTGTTGTTTGAATTTGAGAATAATCACGCTCAGGTGATTTAAACAAGGACATCATCTGTTCGAATGAGCAAAATACCAAGTTAGTGTCGGAATTTTGTTGAGTAATAAGTTCAGCTTCAAATACATCATCTTCTTGAAACTCAATCGGGTTTTTATCGGAGATTTTGATTACATTTGTAGGCAGAGTGAACAGAGCTTTATCACTGATAGTGTTTTTGAAATTCTCATTCGACGCCGATATATTCGACAGCACCCAATCACAGGGTTGGCATTTTCATATTTCGCAAAGTTTTTTTATTCGTTTTTCAATTCAAACTTTGAAAAACCATAAAATTATGATCAAAACTATTTTGATAAAACTAATCCAACTTGAAAAAACTGGATCCATAAACAAATTTGAAAACAAGAAGTTATTTGAAAACAATTAAAATGAACAAAGAAACGTAACATTTCGCAAACTTAAAACAGAGAGCAGTCGCACCTGAACGCAAGATTTGCAATTGTCACAAAACCCAACCACAGGGTTAGGAATTTGAAATTGAGAAACTTTTCAAATTTAAATTCTCTGAGAACGAAACTTCAAAAACCATAAGAAAACTTCATTTCTCAAAATTTTAAAGACTTGAGCAGTCATATTTGGAGGCAAGATTCACAACCCCTGAGAGTACTTTGACAGCCCCAAGTAAAAAAGTTAGGTTCAAATTTTGAAAAAAGAGTTAAGAGTTTTCTGAAAAGTTTTTGAAAGAAAATCACATAAAACGTCATACCTCGAAAACGAACAAGATTTGAGCAGTAATACATGAAGGCACGATTCGCTATAGAGATGAGAAACGTCAAAAAAACGTCAAATCTAAAAAACGTCATATCTCGAAAAATACAAGGATTTGAGCAGTCATATTCAGAGGCAAGATTCGCAACTCCTGAGAGTACCCTCACAGTTTCCAATTACAGGAATTAGATTTTGGAAGTTTGAAAAATTTTGACAAAACCATTAAAAAACGTCATATCTCGAAAAGTAAAGGATTTGGGAAATGAGATTTGAAGGCAAGATTAGCAACCCCAGAGAGTACCCTGACAGCCCCCAACTACAGAGTTGAGAATTTCAAATTTGCAGAAATTTTTTTAAAATTTTCTAGAAATTTTTGATAAATCTCAAAAATTGCTGTATTTCGTAGCCTAAATGTATATAGTTACTCATATATGGAGGCCAAAATCGCAACACCCGGGTAAAATTTGACAAAATCCCACTAGTGGGTAGCTAATTTCAAACTTGGTGAAATAAAAGTTGAATGCAAACAGGAAAATCGGAAAAATCTTAACACTTGCAATATACGATATAGCTTAAACTTGAAAAAATTCTTTGGTTAAACATGCAAAAAAAATACGTGGAGTGAGCTTAAACATGGCAAGATAGTGAAGCCCGCATTTAAATATATGATAGATTACCATTGAATTTTTTGAAATTGGCAGGACCAGCGTGAAGATATTTGTAAAAAATAAAAATTTGCTGACCGTTTATGAGTACCATATCTACGAGCTTTTGAAACTCGTCGTTAAATCTCTAATCAAATGCACTGTAAGTCTTGTTGAAACGAAGCCTTTAGTTTTCAAAAATTTACCGATTCTCGAATTGGTATAGAGGTTGCAAATTTTATACACAGAGGCGAGGCTGAGCTATGATTAAAATCAAACGGAAAAAAAATAAGACAAAATCTTTTTTGTTAATACAAATAGCAACAAAAGCCTAAAATATTCGAAAATTGCCTGCAACAATATAAACTCTAAAAAGAGCTTTGAGAATGATAAACAGAGCCAAGTTTTCAAACAAAATCCTTTCTGCGGAACTAAGCAGACAAAAATAAGCAAAGACAACCTAAATTAGCCAACATTTTCTATGTGCAAGAAAAACAGGTCTCAACTGAAATCGAACTCCAGGGCTTTATCGGCACAGTAACTGGGAATCAAGCTGAACCATCGAGCTACGGGAATCAAGCCAACAAAAATAAACAGACATCGAGCTAAGGGAACTAGGGGACAAAAACCAACACACGGACGAAATTCCGAAAAAGCACAACACTAGTTTGCAAAAAAAGAGCCCGGCTGGATTTGAACTTCAAGCCCTTGCCGTTTCAAGCTGTTGTTTTACCTCTACGCCAGATGGATGATCGGATTTCAATTTATAATATCCAAGCGGTAACAAAGCCGAAAAAACCTGAGCAGAAACACCTCATGCCGAAAAGAAATTCAAAACTCTTTACTTATGAAAAATGTTAATACCATTTTCCCCTCAGAGCACGCACACGCTTAAAACACCTTTTTTCAGTCGTAACGAAGCAATAAAAGGCCACTAAGTCGATACTAATGAAACCCAAAACTATAAAGCCTAAAAAAACCAAAATGAAAATAATGAACTTTTTTTAAAATCGAGCTGGTTAAATTACAACCAATGTAAAAACGAACTTTTGGATTTGGCCCCGTTTTTTAAAATGCTAAAAACATCTGCAGTGATAAATTTTTACAGCTGAAATAAATGATTCTTAGATCTGGCACCTAAGCCGAAAAAATATAAGCAGACAAACAATAGACCGAAATTTTTTTGAACCAGAATATTTACCTTTTGAAAAAATGGTCCTGGTCAGATTCGAACCCACGATCTTTGCCGTCCCAAGCATATTTGTTATCACCAGGCTAAGAGTGTAAGAGACACAACAAAATTTGAATTCATTATGAACCAAGGTACCACCAGGAAGCCAATGAGTCCAGCGGACAAAGTTGTTTACGGGAAAAAAGTCTAGTACCCGATTGCAATACCCTTGCTTATCGCGAGGGCAATAACAAATTAGACACTTTGGACTTACTGCCGGTTGAAATTAAAAAGAGTTCTTTTAATGAAATATCATGTTTTTACTACAAATTCATAGATTCTTTTTCAATTCAAAACTTTCACCCATTAGTTAAATGCGGCTGGGCAACCCCTAAGATTTTTGTGAAAAATTTTTTTTTTCCAGAACCATCTGCTTTTAGAGAACATAACTTTAAAATTTACTTTCAATTTGATTATCGGGCAAAACACAAGTTCAAACACGGAAAACGTGCACGTACCTCTTAGCGCTCTTTAAATACTGTACTGTTACAAATACTCTGAAGCTTCTAAAATTCTTATTATTCAAATTTTCGAAAAAGTATTCCAAAAAGTGAAATGCGTTTGTTTAGTAAACAGGTTCTTCTCTCCGTTTTCATAACATTACTGTTGACTGTGGTAGCATGATAAATACTGACAACACTTGTCCCCCGGTCTGCTTGCTTGCTTGCACGATAAAAAGTTAACAAAAATACTGACATGTTTTTTGAAAAATCTCAAATTTCGATTTCTTGAAAACAAAAAGGGCCTTAAAGCTCTTTGAATTTCTAGAAAAACTATGATTGACACTTCTTTGATGAAATCTACCCAAATTGAGAAAACTGGATCAATAGGTAAAATTTATAATTTGCTGAAAAATCTGATAATCAAACTCCATTTTCAAAATTAGAAGCTGATCACGTTTTTTGTGACCTTTACATTTCATTTTCTCTAATCGATGTTGGAGTTTGCCTTCCTTTTAATAGAAAAATGAACTGAACTTAGAAAACATCAAAATTCAAAACGCGAAAAATTAAAATTGAGCCTGAGCAAATTTCAAGACTTTTCCTTAAAAAAGCCAAAAAAAAATCAACGCGATCTTTATAAGTGTCTGAACTACTTTCATTGACTCTTTGTAAGATCATTTTTCTGGAGAACACGTTTGTTTTTTTATTTTAAATCAATTTTTAGATAGTTTATGACCTTTTAGGGCAGACGTTTGGTGGATCCGAGGATCCGTTGTCTGTCCTCTCCAAAAGACATGGAAATTTTTGGAGGACGAATTCTTTTACCAAACATGTCGGCTAGCGAATGTGATCAAAATTGACGTGAGAGTAACAAGCAGACTGAAGAAGCGAATATTGTGGTTATTTTGGAGAAAATTTGAGAAGGACTACGAACAAATGAACAAGTGCACATGGAGAATTGCTTGCGATTGCACAATGAATGACTGTAGAAGCAAAACTTCACTATAGAACGAAAAACTGAAAGGGGGAAACCCCTTGTGCTACGAGCACAAAAGCCCTACTACTACTACTACTACTACTTATAACTTTGCTGAACAATCATTTGGAGAAAAAATCTTTGGAACCTAAAAGCCACATCTCGAACAAACAAAAATGCATGGACTTACTGGTCAAAACGCCATAGACTGTTCTTAGCATTTGTACATGAAGTTCGTCTGAAGGATTGAAAGCTAGTTTCGCAAGAGCAAAAATAGAATCCCGATCGCGCACTAAATTTTTGTTCAATTTCGGAGGACCACTGAAAATTTTTTTAATGGACTTCCAGCCACTTACAGGCACTGTTGTTTGAATTTGAGAATAATCAAGCTCAGGTGATTTAAACAAGGACATCATCTGTTCGAATGAGCAAAATACCAAGTTAGTGTCGGAATTTTGTTGAGTAATAAGTTCAGCTTCAAATACATCATCTTCTTGAAACTCAATCGGGTTTTTATCGGAGATTTTGATTACATTTGTAGGCAGAGTGAACAGAGCTTTATCACTGATAGTGTTTTTGAAATTCTCATTCGACGCCGATATATCTCTACTCGGAGAATCTACTTGATCTATACCATTGAAAGCCATTGACTTAATCTCTTCAAGTTCTTTATTGTATCTTGATTCAGCCATCGACTTAACATTAATCTCAGTTGAATCTACCGTAACAACAGCAGAATTTTGAATTCCAAAAGCTGTTTCGCCGCTAACTGAAACTTTACTCTGATGCGATTGAGCTACAATAGCATCAACACCTGAAGCACGATTCCTGTCAGAAAAAGGTAAAATCAGTGGATTTGTACTGATTGGTGAAACTCCTGCGCTCACTCCTTTTTGCATTGCAAAATCTTCTTTTTTACCAAGTTGGATTTCTGATGCGTTGATTGTTTCTCGTGAAGGGTCTTTTTGCAGTTTTTGGCGCTTTTCAAGCCATATTCGATTAATTTCATTAATATCCTTGCTAACGACAGGAGTTGGTTTAGAAATAGTCTTGGGTGATAGTTTTTCAGTTACCTGTCCATCGCTCGATGACTGTTCAAAGGCTTCATCAAACTCATCGTCCAGTAAATTTTCTTGTCTAGCGAAATTTGTAAGCTCTGAGGATTTTGAATCTTCTTGTGGCAATAGCTGCTGCCTCACATCGCCACTCAGTCCAAGCGCTTGTTTCGTCAATTCATGTTGGACAGAGCTTTGCGAAAGTGTAGAACTCATTTTATTAACTTCTGAAAAATCAAGCCATTAAAACGACAACTTTCTTGCAAACCATTACTTTAGTCAAATAACAATCAAACAATCGAAAGATAGTTAAAAGAGCGGAAGAACCATGTATTTAAAAAACACCATGTGGATGTTTTCACGCAAGATTGGGGTGGGCTCTTGGCGGCAGGCTGTTACTTCAAGTCCCAAATCAAAAATTTTACAAACATAGCTAGCTGATAGAAAAGGGGACAGAAGCCACTAGATCGAAAAAACTATTTTGATAAAGAGGCGATGCGAGGCAAAAGAAATACAAGGAAAATGAAGTTGGAAAATAAACTTAAAAGTTGAAAAAGATGCAGCCACAAAAATTCCATGATTGTACAAAGAAGTTCATAAACAGCCTTAAAAAACAGAAAATTAATTAACGAGCGGCAACAAAATTTGGGTCGAAACTTGTTTGAGCCAAAAACAAAACTTGTCATGAAATATTTTTTACATTTTTTCAATTTTTATACAACGCATCCACTCTGAAACACATGATCGCATGCGAATTTATTTGCACTCGAAATTATGCAAAATAAATTGACGGAGCCGATACAACAAAAACTGTATGAATATTTAAACAAGGATTGCCTGTTACCGTGCAAGTAGCAGAATTTTCCTACCAGTCTTAAAAATATAACAAAACATTTTCCAATTAGTGTCGTTTTTTCGGCTTGGTGTGATAAACGAATGTGAGCGAAAAAGTCGAGCTGAGGTATTTTCGGCAGTTATTGTAAAATATGCAAATTGGAAAACAATTTTTGAAGACAAACAAGACTGTTCATCTGTTAAGGCAAAGCCCTGAGAGTTACGAAAAGAAAATTTTGAAAACTTGTACATTTTGGACAATAACAAAGGGTAAAATTTCGAGTCGTACAAAATTACTACGACCAATTATCTAGTCTCAATTGAAATTGGAACGATTTAGTTGTGCGGGATAAGTCGCCACGCATAAATAATTCGGGTTACGCTCTCAGCCTTATTAACACACTCTTCAAAGTGCGAATAATTTAATCCACAACATGGCAAATTTGGCAATTTTCAATCCCCCAGAATTGTACAAATAATCGGAGGTGAATTATCATTTTACATTTGATGTAACATTCGCCCGGAAGTACATACGGATCCTCAGACTACGTGATTGCCATTAAAAACACGGCTCGATCAACCTATTTTAACATGTTTTTGTGTGACAGTTCTATATTAAATCCATTGGAGATGGATTGACCCTTTCCTCTTTCTAGCTACTCATACTCTAAAATATCAAATTATACCGGTGTTAATTCAGACTTCTACGACATCCAAGTAGCTACAAAGTTAGTTTTATGTAGTCCCTTCACATAAAACAGTCTCTAGGTGACCAAGCCTCCGCTCCCGTAATCTTCCTGAGATAACGTTCTTATCTCTTCCAATTTGTGGCACGGGAGGGTTCCGTGGGATATTCCTTCCCCACTGAAGCTTCCTTCTCCACCAATTTCCGCAGCTAAGAGTCTTATCGTGTGTTGTTGCCACGATAAGAGGCTTCGTATTTTTTGCCTCTTGTGCGACCGTTTTCCACAATATTTGTCGTTGTTCTGTTTTTTCGTCCTTTTTCGTCAAAATGGCCGTCTTTTTCGTATTTCTGAGAAATATCCACTCTTCAATCGAAATTTAAAAAAAATAATTCTAGAATGTTCCTACCCTCCTTCGCAATACTTTTTCGTTCCTTAGGCCTTTATTCGTTTTTTTTCGTGTCGTCGGAAGGTTGCGCTGTGTCAATCTGGCAGAATGGCACAAACTCCCCAGATAAGTCCCCATCAATGTCCCTATTGATCGCATAACACCGGGTTATCGTCAAGTAGTGTTGCAGTTCTCTGTAATCAATCTTACAAATCGCATAAGAAAATGAAATTTATCTACTCCACCTCAACTCACTACGTGTTCACAAATGGCATCATACTACATTTCACTGCCTTTCAAAATTTTCACAAAATTTGCACCATGAGGAGTGTCCTAGATAAAATTTCTTTTCTGACTACTTACGTCGTCTTGCCATAAAACTTCTTTTCGCTCTTTGTGATTTAAAAAAAAAGTGGGACGTGGCACGGCCACGCACCCGTTAAAATTAACTTAACATCACTCACCAAGTATAATCAGTTATTTATGCGGTCCCTTCAATATTAAAACTAAGAAACTCTGTGACTAGGAAAGTTATTGAGTCACTCACCCTTCTCGAGCGAGTTTACCCAAACTTACCACGTCGCCACGCAGTGAAATTGTGTCTTACACAGGTTAAAAACTTCAGTCATGTTTAAATAGGTAAATATACTCACCTATGTTCTATGTATATACATAAATACTACAACTAAAATTCTCTTTCAACAATTTTAACAATTGTAACAATTTTCAAAGTTTGGTTTGACCAAACTAAATCAAAACAAAAAGTTTAACAAGTTCAATAATCAAAACTTGGTTGATTGGTTCAAGTTTTAACACACAAAGACAATCAAGTTTTTTTTTCTTCTCTTCTCTTCTTTGCTCACGTCTTCACTTGTTCTCTTCGTTCATAATCTTCACTCCATCGCTTCTCCATCCTGATCTTCAGCTTCGCTGTCTTCTAATACTTTCTCCAACATGTCCGTGGAGTTGCGGGCCGTGCCCCAACTCTCCTGTTCCAACAGCCTCGGTTTGCAACAAGGTAGCAAGTCCACATTCACTTTTTGCTCCCGGTTCCTGCAAAAGCTGTTGTGAAGACATAGGCTCACATTTCTTTCTAGGTCAGCTCTTAAGACCTCTTTCTTCTCATCTTCAGTTACACAAGGCGCTCCAGCTACCCGCTTCACCGCCGTGGTGACCGCGTTTCTGTGCGTCAGGAATGCTCTCTTATAGGCTCCCGGTCCTATACTTAGCTGGAAAGATTGATAGGCTTCCGTGTTCCTCGACATGGGACGCTTCACGAGTTCATACATCCATGATGTCATCACTGCACGGAACCAAGGCATCAATCTTTGCCTTGACCATATTCTTTCAATGGCTTTGGGTATTCTCAGAACCTTGCATGTGGTTCTGAAAAGATCCAATTCATCACTCATCTTCACTTTGCTCAGCTGTTCAGGAGTCGGCACGGCCGTCTCCTGTTCACTTGTAACCGTGTTAGCCTCCAACCATCTCACTGCCAGCATGGCACTAACCACCACCATTGACACCTGTTGATTCTGATCGGGCAACCCCGTAGAGTACAACTCCTCCACGTCCCATACTAGCATCAGATTCCCGCGTTTGGGGTACCACAACGTCTGCGCCAAGCAGTGGCAAGGATACTCCCCATGGGTTCTCGCTATGTTCCTTCGGGTCCAATACCCTGAGGCCCCCAGCAACGGTTCTACCTCCATCAGAACTCTGTGTAAGTCGTCTTTCTCTTCTATGATGGGGAATTCAGTGGGTAACGCTCCACTCGCTTTCTGCTTCTGGAACTCACTCACATTACCTTCGTTCAATCTCAGAAACTCTTCACCCACTACGTCTTGCAACTCGCCTTCAGATCTCTTCGGGACTGCCCGAAAGATCTTTGCCAACAAATCATATGACCTCTCCGACATTCTGGCCAACCTCACGCACTTTGGCACAGAGAAAAGTTGGTCAATCAACACCTGCTGTGTCCTCGCATCCATCACCACCATGTGTATAGGATACCTACTACTGCAATATGGTGCGGAGCTTGAACCCACCAGATATTTTGAACCAGTAGGTTTATGATAGGCTTCACTATCTTTCAGATTCATTTCGTTCTCCAGAGCTTCTCGCCAGCCCCCGATCTTCTGCTGTGTCTGCAATGCTCCAGGGAACACTTCCACGCTGAGGGACGTCACTAGCTCATGGGCACGCTCCAGGCGCTCAAGCGATTCTATCGAACTCGTCTTGCTACAAAATCCCAAGGCTGTGATCAAGTTTACATCCGTCACCCCATGACAGTCCGCGACCAACTCCATGCCACTCTTATCCGACATGCTCAATCTTCCGTACAATCGTGCCAGTTGTCGATGCTGCTCGCTCAGCGTAATCAGGCAGTGTCCCAAGTTGCAAAGATGTCCTTCCATCCCACTCTGTTGAGCCAAGCATGTGCCTTGCTTCAACCAATTGCTCGATGGACCTTCCTCGGACAGCTCCGTGGATGGGTTGCTCTTCCGCTTCGTCAACCTCATGGCCAGCATATGGTGTATCATGGCCAGATCATGTAAACTCGTATCATCATCTGGGTCTAACGTGATATCCGCCGTCATGTCCCAGATTAAACCGGCGTTAGGATGAGGACACCAAGAAGGCTTCATGAGCTCCCACATCGTTACTAGACTGGTTTTCAAGGGACCGTCCCAAGAACCACAATCAAAACTCACTTGCCCCTTTAGCTCGGGACCGAGGGTTCGACCACTCGTTTTTCCAAGATAATTCCCAGCTTGTGTTGTTCCACCATCAGCATTCCAGTTTCTTTAATCCGTTCAACCCAGAAATTGAGTACTATGACTTGCTCATAGTCGAAGTACGCTTCCCTGGCTTCTTCATTCACGAAGGGATTATACGCCATCCCCGGTATGCCCGACACATATTGGAACGACTTCAGTCTCCCTAGTGTTGCAAAGTGTTTTTGTCCCTTGACTGCTTCAATCAACTCCCGGCTCACTTTCAATTCTTTGTTGGAATATCTTCTCACTTCTTCCAACTTGCGATAGCTCTCCATGTCATTCGACTCCTTATTTGGTACAGTCAACGGCATATCCTGATATAGTTCCAGGAAAGCCCTAAGGAAGTTCCTTTCGCAATAGTTCCTGATCTTTATACATTCTCCCAAAACAGGAGTGGGGATACGATCCACCACGAACCTGACAAAGCAAAGGGCATCCTTACGCTTAGCCCATGCTATCGCAGAATCGTCTTTTGAAATCAACGGTCGCAGAGCTTCCATCAACTCCAGCTCCTGTTCCCGTGATTTCGAATCATTACTGGCTT